AATAATAAAGAAATAAAAAATTTTTGAAGTTTTATGGTTGAGTTTTAATCTAAGGGAAATAACTATTTCCTTAAAAAGAAGTTCTGTTTAAGGGGAATAACTTTTTTAATTTAATTTTTTTGATTGTGATGGAGGAAATAAATAGACATAAAGGTATTTATCTGCACGTCTAATTGAATATAACAACACGCAGAGTAGAGTTTAAATGACACGTGAAAATGAGATCACTGTCACATCTGGTGCTTCTGCTATGTATCGAGAGATTTTTGAGAGAATCCAAACTAAAATCTACAATGTTATTGGTCTTGAACTAGTGTACCAATTTCACTCAAATTCCCACTCACTACCGTAACGTAGCTTTCTTGTGCCATTTCTATAAATACTTTCATGATAACTGTTCTGATGGGCTTTCCCCTTTAGTGCCTCCATTTCACGAAATTAAGCGAGTATTATATTTGCAGATGTGTCTCATTTTACTTTTGAAATTATTCGATATGACCACAGGTTCTATGGTAACAGTTTCTTCTCACGCACGTCTCGCTTGTTGAACTCTCTTCCGACGACTTCCTCGGTGCTGGCGTGACTACCCTGACTCCTGACCGAAGGAGGGACATGCCTGATTCGGGGCCCCAGGCAATGATTTGTGACCTTCGCTATATTATCAAGATTTGTTTTTTTTGTTTTTTTTTCGTTGTTCTTGTTGTCTGCTTACATTTATATAAGTTACAAATTAAGCTCAACACAACTATTATTAAAGAATGAAACATTTTCATGTATTTTAACATCATTCTTGGATCTTTTCTTTCCGTTCTAATCCGTGAATTTGTTTTGTTCTTGCTAAATCTCGAAAAAAAACAAGACATAGAATTAATTTTGTTTTGTTTTTTTATCCATAATGGTGCATGTGTTAAAATTTTCCAACTTTATAACAAGAAAAAATCTCCACTTGATGCTAAAAATTGCCACAAAACATTGATTTTAAGATGGAATGATCTATTATGACATGTCTCTTATTTAAGATGAAATGATCTATTATGACATGTCTCTAATTTGTATTTAGATACATTGTATTTATTTTCAATTTTTCTAGTTGAATTGCATTGAATTGTTGAATTTCTAGTTGAATGGGTCATATTGCATATGACACATTAAAGTACATAATTAGATTACAATAACATTTGTATTTTATATGAATAATACCTTATGAAAATTGAGATATACTAGAGTGGGGGGTGTATCATAGATTCGGGAAGGGGGCTCGAGACCTGTGTACCGGCCTTACTCTTGCTTTCTTGTCAACTTCGATTATCATCATCTGTCTTTCTGAAACCTGTTTCTTTTATTGTACTTTCTCCTCACTAATATTTTCTTTCACTCTCAGTAACCACTTGCGTCTTATTGGCATTATCGCCTTGCTTGGGGTGAAATTTTTTTAAAAAAATGTCAATTCTAGTCGGCTCTTTAGACCCTAGGGATAAACTTCGGTACCACCAAAACAGGTGCTTTTTTTTCCCCGAAATGAAAGCAAAAAACATCCCTGCCCTGTTTTTAGATATTTACCAAAAATCAGGGAATTAGCCGATTCAAACAAAATTTTCAGGACATATTCATTAATGAATGGATATTTTACTGAAAAGCGGTTTTAATAATAGAAATAAAAAAAAAACACTTTGGGGAAATATTTTTTACAGGAATGGATTTCAGAATCTTTTCGATATCACGTGTGTACTTTTTAATTTTTTTTTGGGGGGGGGGTTGTCCACTATTTTTACAGTTATATAAAGAAAAGTCCTTGAAAATTTTATTTCAGTAAAAATTTGTGAAATATCAAAAGTGATTATACGGAAAATTCGGTCCGTATCTTGCCAAAATTCAATAAAACTCAATTTTTTTATTATTTTTTATTTTTTTAGAAATCATGCTGGCAAATTTTTAAACGTTATTTTCTTTCGGATTAGACAGAAATAAACAAGCTACATTATTATTTTTTTTAAATTACTTGTAATTTTTCGGCGCAATTTTGAAATTCATCCCGTTGCTGTTCCTCACAAGAGTTTCTTTTATGAAATAAAAACTTGTTTGAAGATTCAAAAAATGTAAAGTTTAATGACATTTTCATAATGACACCTTTTTAAAATCTTAATCTTAAGGTAAAAGAAAACTTATTTTGAAAGATAAATAACAAATTATTGATTACTGCACTTCTGGTCGTCCGTATTACTTTAGGTTTTATTTTTACTTTTTCCCGCGCTTTTTCGGACAGGGGTAATCACGGTATTTCTATCATGCCCTTTGACCTCACAGGCGACCGTGCGTAAATAAAACGTTATTTTAATTCTGTTTTAACTAAGTAAAAGACAAACATTACTTTTAGAAAATCCAGTTAATTAATGTTTAAATTTACTAATAGACTTCGAAACCCACCTCTAGTACAAATATTGAATTTTAAAAAGAATTTTGAATTTTTTGTTTATATTTTTCATAAGCAATGACGACACGCTTGATCGATGAGTGACCAAAATAGTACTAATGCTTTAAAAACGCCTAAAAATTTTACATACAAAAATTATTTTTTCTTTTAATTCGGATTGGCTTTAGGCCATTATCTTTCAAATAGAAGCAAAATTTGTGTTCAAAGAAGGTATTTTAAAATTATTTAAAATGCTATTTTAGTTTTTTTTTTGTTGTTGTTGTTGTTGTTGTTGTTGTTTTTAGAAACTCCGTGGTGGTACCTAGAACTCCATAGAATATGTGGGGTTCGCCTGAAACTGAACAGAGTTAATTTTCGCCTCAAAGCTAAAGACTGAGAAGAGATTTCAAGAAAGCATCATTCCAATATGCGTTCTGACTCCTTAACTCATTATGTTGTTATTATTGTAAAAATAATGTTTCTGTCGACACATTTAGAAAGCCAAACCGATACCGATCCTTATTGCTCAAATGATTCATTTAAGTTTTGAAAATTTTAGCATCTACTTTATTAGAAGAATATATGGTGGCGTGGAGCTTAGGAGCTAAAATGAACGGTTGATTTACCCAGGGCAAGAAGATTAATTGAGAATGATGAAACACGCGGGTAAATTTTAACAAAACAAGATAAGGAATTTATTCATGAATTTACACGCTTGAAGTAATATCAGTAATTCGTTTCAGGAAAATAAATCGAAAATGTTTAATGTCTTAACGAATTGTCATGAAGAAGAAATGTTTATACAACAGATTAAATGATCTGACACAAAATAATATTCAAAAATGTTTAAAACAAAGGTAAGAGAATCTGTTACTCACCGAAAGGATATGTGGTTGTATACTTTCAAACGTAGACAATGAGTTTGAAATACTTAGCCTTCTTGGATTGTTTAAAGAAAATTAATGGCGTTCTTGGTTAAAAGCCGATAGTATAATCGACGAGTATTTTATACTGGCGAAAACTTCAACGCTGGATGCGATGAACAGAAATGAAACCTTTTGCATGACTTCAGACACTCTTCTCTTATTAATTTTTCCCCTCATATCAAAAAGAATTTCGCATAGGCACGCTTTCTTTTCTTTTTTCTTGGCTCAACAACTAATTTTCGTGGAAACAGGGTTGTCATTGGTTCAAAGAAAATTTCATATAAGCTCGTGAATACCTTTCCGTCTTTTTCCTCAATTCTCTGAATTTGAAGGGAGTGGGTAAAGGCAGTTATTATTCGCACTCACTACAAGTATATGAGCTAGTAAATTGGTCTATATGCCACCTCAAATTCCATAACAATCTACGAATTTATACTGGAAAATACTTGGCCAGACACTTCCCAAGATCTGACTAAGTGACCAAATATCTGATTGGGGGCAGAGGGCTTTTTTATGAAGAAAAAATTCTTTAGTAAATTTTTCACTTTTCTCCAAATTTCATTTTTTACATTTAAAATGTAAGGGAGATAACTGATTTTATTCTTCTACAAACACGTGTTAATTTTCTAAGCGTAGCTTAGAAATGACACAAGGCTGAACGTATAGGGCACCGAGTGAGGTTCAAACTCACTACTCAGTCGTAATGATTCTCACAAGACAAGCTTGCTAACGATTACACCACGTCGAAGTGCCCTCTACAAAGACATTATGATAAATATTGAACAAACATTAAGTCTTCTATGTGCCATGTCTCTCCTGGTTGTGAACAATCATGGCTTCCCACCTTTCTGTCCTTTGTCGCTTTTAGTAATGTTTGTTTTTTTACTATCTCTCCCACTCCCTGTTCTTTTATTCATGTATACAAAATTCTTGGTTGGTTTAACTTTGCCTCTTTTGCCTTCAATATATCCTGTGAGTATCAAAGTATCTAAGCCTTTTTCGCTCATTATGCGTCCGAAACTGTCTGATTTTACATATAAGCACCCTTTTAATAGTGTAGCAAATTTCTCTACATCCCATCTTTAGTTTGTAAACATCAGTTATTTTATACAATTCTCTTCATCTCCTTTGAATAAAACCAAAAACATCAAATTCTAAACCACAATGTTTTCACTTACATTTATATTTGCCTGCAATGCATAATGCAAAAATGGCTTCATGAAAGCCGATTTGAAAAGTAATCATTTTTATCATCTAACTTTTAATTAAAAGTTTACTTAAAACTTAGTATTGAGACCAAAAACAGATTCTGCCATGGGACTCACCTCTTTCGTCGAGGTATGTAGACATTTTTCAGATAATATTATCGACTCCTGGAACATTTATCCCATAAACAATATTTGGTAGACTCTTGAGGATCCAAGTATTAATAAGAAAAAAAAACAGATTTTAAACAAATGTTAATTAATGCATGTATTAATACAAAGATAACAACTTACTGATCCAAATCCTACTAATTAATCCATAAGCGGTGATGGAATAGCTGGATTCGTACTTTTCCTAAGGATACTTTGTGTTTAAATGAATATAAGATACCCAACTATAATTGAAACTCAGCTCTCTGATTAACAATTCCAAGCCATTATCTACCCACACATCCAAACTTACAGCACCTACTATTCCCAAATGGTCACCCATCTATGTATTTACTACGCTCAACATTGCTTAACTTCAGTAATTGTATGAGAACCGATGTTTCAGCAGGATATGGACATAAGTAAGAAACCCTATGTTAACACATGAAAGTATTTGTTTAATAAATATTTGTTAAGAGATGAAGGGTTTATTTGATAATTATATAACAGGAGAGAGCCATGGTAGAAAGATCTATTCTACCCTTTTATTTCCCCCATTATGGGCATTATTATATCCATGATATAATAACACTGTCATTCATGGACAAAATGGAATGGCTGAAAGGAAAAGGAATGACAAATATGCTTTGTTCTCAGAGAGACTTTTTTTTAGCACTAAGACATACACAAAACTATATATAAATATATACTTGTGTCCCACATGAAGAACAATATTTATTATCTACACAGTGAGCAGAGTGTAAGGAGAAACAAAAAGGAAGGGTTTTGCATATAATATATGTGATTCTTCTGTGTTTCTGGAAAAGCCATCTTTAGGACTCCAGATTCAAACAGACTGGATTAATCTTCTACGTCCCAGGTAAGGACATATTCTATGAACAGGAGCAAGTCTTTGGTTTTTTCAAATTGAGGACTATAAGCTTGAGTTTCTTTCTATATCTGGGAAAAAGTATATTCACAAAAGAAAACAGCATCATGAACCTGGAAACTGTAGCATTTGCTGGAGAGGGCAGATTTATCCACTCGGTTTGGCTGCTGTCAAAGTGAATGATTAGCCACTCTCTTGAATGTATGAAGTGACATCACTTGACCTATATGACTTTTCACCAAAGGGAGATGATCGCCTTTTGCATCCCTACAATTAAATTATAGAATACGTCTCTTGTTATGGTTGAAGAGTAAGGTCTGTACCAAATGATTTATGTTCAATTTTTGTATATGGAGGTGGAGGTGAGTATGTGAAACTGTGACTCAGGTAGGTAATCAAACAAAAAAATTGGAAAGAAAAAAAGGAAAGAAAGAAAAGGAAAAAGACAAATAACTAAATGACAATTGTTGAAATTCACAGGAAAGTGGATTGAAAAGTTAAGAAAATTAAAAACAAAATGCATTAAAAATTATGTTTCAAAATAATAAAATAAATTTCCGAACAGTTCTAAGAAGAATCAAACCCAAATTTAACTAAAGAGAATTTTAGTAAAATTGAGCAAAACCAAGACTACCCGTCCTTCCCCACTTCCTGCCAATAGGAAAGAGGCAATTAATCTATCATCAAAGATGTCGAACCTGGAAAAAAGAAAAAAATGTTGTCAATAAAGAAAACAGGTGGTCATTGAAATATCATTTAAAATTGTTTGGGGCAAAGAGCCAGGAAAACCATCTGGTTTGAATCAGCGACCCAGAAGAAAAATATCCATACTAAAATAAAGATTAGCACCTAAGATTGGGAATGGGGTCATTCATTTTAATTTCTATGATAGTCATAAAAAAAATTTATGGCAGACATTATTTTGTTTTGTTTTTTTGGATACAAGTTATAAAGAAAAATTAATTACTATTACCTTGGAGTGACCATAGAAAACCAGTGGCCTGATTGATTGAGAAACCACCTAAAACAAGTAGCATGATAAAGAAATTTTAATTACTGAAAATTATCTTTTCACTTATGCATTCTAAATGTTTAGATTCATCACAATGACAGCATACCAGCCCTTGGTGTAGGTTGAGGTTTAATGAAGAGAAAGTAGGAAAAGGGAGAGAGAGATTAGCACTGCCTCTATGGAGTGATGGTACAAGATGAGACATGAAGGGAGTTAAAGTTAAGGGTTGGCTTGATTCCTCTGAATACTCTCAAAGGAGGCTGGACAACCCCTAACCAAACCCCAGACTATAGTAAACCCCACACCTGCCAGATGCAGGACTCTATATAAGATGGAGATTTGGACAACTTCAAGTCCCCACATTACTGCTAATAGAATCCACATGGTTTGCGGAGACCTTCTAACCAAGACCTTGTGCCAGCCTTGCAGACCATAACTTAGAAATTTAAATTGCTACTAACACAGGCTGTAAACTTCAAAAGGGGATCTCAGTGTCATTTGATTATAACAAATAAATGGGAAGGATTAAAACCACTGAATACAACTAATCATATAGAACAAATTGCTGTTACATTTTTAACCCAAGCTGATTCTTTATTCTAAAGAATTCCTTTTTGTGTAGCTCCTAGCCATTGACCTGTTCTTTGCTTCAGTTTATTTCGTCAGCATTTTTCTAACCCTCAAAGATCAAAAACAATATGACAGAGGAGTGAAGGATCATGAAGGAGACAAACACCACCTAGATTGAGTGGAACCATACTCATAAACAAAATACCAGTGTCAAATCAGCAATGTATTGACAAGTGAGATATCAGCTAGATTGTAACCAGGGTGGTCTGAAGGAACCTGAGAACCAATGCAGTGGATGGGGTTACAAGTATAACAAATAGAAAGAAATCAGTTTCATGCATTAAAAGGTAAGACAGGAAAATCACACAATTTATAATTATTTTGTTTTATTCACTTTCTTAGTAATTATAAACAGATGCAAATATTAAAGTATTTACTTATTATGCAAGTGAACATTCTTATTCATAAAATACTGATTAACTATAATTCTGCTTTACCAAAAACTTCATATATATATATATATATATATATATATATGAATAAATATAGTCTTAAGATGTACTATATTTATGGGATAAAGTGCTCAGTATCAGAAATAGAGCATATGTAAATATAAATACAAAAGTGAACATTGAAGTCAACAATTCAAAATAACAGAATAGACTATGGCAATCAACCCAATAATTGGATGAATAAATAGCTTTAATTATCTTCCCAGACCAAAACAAACTATTAAATAAGCCACCTTAGCATTTTTTACTATGTTAATAAAATATCAAAAACTGAAAAGAAAAAGGAAAAAATGAAAATAAAAAAAAAGTAAAATAAATTAACCCAAATAAATAATTAAATAAATAAACAAGCCACTCCACAATGCACCACTGATCCATATATATAAATAGTGGAGAAAAATCTAACACTTATGGCCTGATGATTGTGTCTAGCATGAAACAGCCTGTCAATTCTGAGTGTTGACTTCAATTTTCACTTTTATATACATATATATATATATATATATATATATATATATATGTCTGTGTGTGTGTGTGTGTGTGTAAAATACTACGAAAAAGAACAATGTTGGTGTGACCAACAGACAACTTGCCAAAAGACCTTATACAAGAAAAAATCAAAACAAGTAAAGGCAAAGAAAGATCAAAAAGTCCAAAAAGCAAATACATGGTAAATTAAAGTGTTCAAGACACCAAAAAACTCTTCACAACCTCAACACTCAACAAAGGACAGCTTGAGTCACTACTCAATGTTTATGCTCTCATGATCTCAGTGACTAATGTGTATATACGACACACGCACACACCCACACAAAATTATAATCAGTCATTATAACTATAAAACATTTTTATAATTTCTGTAAAAATATTTTAATAGACCTGTTCATAAAATTTTACTTTTTTCAGTGATAGAGTTTTCAGGTAGTTTCTCTCATTATATAAAGATATTTCATATTTACTGAACTTAATCAAGGGCATTACCAGACCAAATGTGAGTATAGAAGCCATGAAGAGTCTACTGCATCAGTATTTAAGTTTTTTTCCTTTTATCTGTGTTCAAAGACCAACTACTGGTGCTTATGGCAAACACACAGCTGTCAGAGCCAGCTAAAAATAAGCCAGATTTTGTCAAGAATTGTCAACAGTAGTGCAGATTTGTATAACTATACAGAATTCATCAGAAAATATGAGATCTGTTTTTAACTTTTCAGAATTAATCCCTCAAGGACAACACAAAAAGAACAGTTCCATTGTATAAAATGTCACATGTTTCAAAAAGCAAAAACCAGTTTTGAAAAGAAATTCTTCATATGCAAGAAAGTAAAAGAGCATTTTTTTTTAAAGATGCTTATTAATAATATTGTATGCATATTGAATTAAATAAAAATATATATAAATTATTTTATGTAAATATATATTTATTAAAATAAATCAAGTACAGTGCCAGAATAAATACTAGGGTGGGGGGAAAGGAACTGTGAATTCTATATTGCACTAGTCTTCTAAGTAGGAAGGGTCTGCTTACATTTAAAATTCAGATTTATGTGTTCAAACACCAGCCACTGATGATGCTCATAATAAATACACAACTGTCAATGTCAACAAAAACTAAGCCATATTTTATCATGAATTTATATCTAGATTGGTGCAGATTTTTATAAATACATGTACTTCATAACAAAATATTGGGTTGTCAGATAAATTTGTTCATTTTTTTCCATTTATTTTAATCCTATTATTCACCCACAATTTTGACAAATCAGTTTAATATCGAAATGAGCTGACAAGACTGGTATTTCTTAACAAGAATTTATTTAATGAAACATCCCCTGACTAAGCAATTTGTCAACTGAAGAATGCTAGAAAGGGAGGTAATTACCATAACAATAACGCCAAGGGCAGATAAGTATAGTACAAATATAAAAGAATAAACAAAAGTTGTAGAAGAAGAATAGAACTACAAAAATCCATAAACACTAACTTAAGAATATTTTGCATGTTAATTCAAGCAACATTGAGAAAAAAGCACAATTTAATTTATCTGATAAACAAATATAACAAGTGCTGTATTTTAACTTTCCAGAATTGATGCTTCAATGAAAGAAATTGTAAAAATTAATCTTGAGTAAGTGAAAAGAGAAAAAATAAAATGCATTTTAATATACTCTCACGCAGGCATCTCTGAAGGTTCTTTGTATAAAAGTTACCAGAAGTGAAGCACAAATTACTGTTGTCATGTCCATAAAGAAATATATGTAAAAATTAAGATATAAATAAAAAGTATATATCTGTAAAAAGACAATATAGATGAAGACAAAAGGAAAATTGTCCTTTTTGTCAACATAAATAATTCTCCAAATGAAATTAAAATAAATTATAATTACATTAATATTAAAAAAAAAAGTAAATAAAAAATGAACAAATAAAAAAGAAATA